AAGAATTTTTGGGTTTTTTCTTGGTGTATGAACGGTCAAATAAAATTTTGTTGATATAGTGCTTCCTTTTGGATTTCGTCAGCAGTTTACATATTCACTTAAGTTTTGAGATGTTTAGTGAAACATTGGCGATCAAAACATACCAATTTTTTTGTATCGGGACGATTGTTTGGGATTTAGCGAAAATTAAAAGACTTGTGAAAAATTTGCGAATCTGGGCAGACATGATTTAATTAAATCTGGTTTCGTTGTAAATGAATTCGAAAGTATACGGAAACCAACACAAAAGTTGAACTTGTTGGGATTACATTGGGATTTTGAAAAAGAAATTCGTTCAATAATTGACAAAAGAGTTGCAGATTTAAAAGTTGATATAGTGGAAAATATAATGGAAAATATATCAAAAATATCTGCTCGATGTTAAGTAGTTTTTCAATATCTTCTGATGTGTTTAACACAATTTTTAAATTTTCTATGATGAGCCTAACACATGCTCAGGATCCCTATGCAATTTTATGGATGTCAACCCTGCAAAAAGAGAGATATGAATGCTTGAACATTGCATGGTAGAAAAGTGAGTTTGGGAGGTGGGGTTACAAAAATGGGCGTGGCTCGTTAGTTTGAGGGTTAAACTGAATCTAAGTATTATATTCTCAATGCCAAATGGCTGGTTTAAATAGGTTTATTATAAATTTTTTAAACGTCATTAATTTTGACATATTAATTTTGCTCATGAAGTGGCTTTATTGACCGAAGCTGAAAATCAAGCCAGGAATGGCCAAAACATCTCATACCATATTGTAATCATATCCAATGATTTCTTTGGGATTGTTGCCTTCAATGTTAATATCTCCTATGTGTGCAACAATATTATGAATTTGGTTGAAATCTGTTGACCCCCACCTTGCCACCCTCTGACTGGTCCTATCATGGACACACACTAATATTAGGCAGGCATGCAACAGCTCATAGCATATAGGGTTAAAATTTTTTGAATTTGATGCGGTGGTTGTTTTCTTTCGTTGCAAGTTATTGGATAATAAATGATTTATATGCGATTAAGTGAAACGAGTAAGAATATAATTACCATTAGCTGGTCCTGGACATTGATGTCGCACTCCCTGACAGTCAGCAGTTTCCGTAATTTCTTAATATTTTCGTCAGCCATACTGGCTGGTTGCTATTCTATAAATGGTATTTCTGAAAGAAGACGCATTGCTCATTGCAAGGCATTAATGAAAATACCAGTTTAACCATACCTAATGAACACGGGAGAGACCCAAGGTTTGTTTCTCTGTCAAAGTTTACTGTGAAGTGATATTCCTCGTAGGTTTCAATCACAACAAAATACAAAGGCAGATTATAGGAGTAAAAATATAGAAACATGTCGTCTCTTACATGAAAACATACATACTTACAAACGAAATATCGATTTGCTTAGTCATAGAGTTTACTGTGGCTTCTACGGTGCCATCCCTCTTTGGTTCGGTGTATTGTCACCGTCCATTTAACTTCTTTCTCCATATATTGATTCATTCTCAATGCAACAACAAAATCTAATGACATTTAGTAACTTAATTTTCATAACAACATATTCACCTGCAAACAGAAAGAAACACCAAATTTCCAAGATCGATCACTAAGAGCAAACTCTTCCAACCTTTATGATGCCTTGCCACAACATTTTTCCTAGATGTTAACAACACACTGATATAACTACTTTAATGTTCACATTGGTGTGGTTGATATGTTTCTTCAGAAATTCGAAAAATTTCAGTAACTTACCGATTTTATAAGTCTCGTGCAAATGGCGACTCGATCTCTATTATTAGAAAATGTCGAGGGGAATTCCCCTTTTGTTGCTATTGACTACATTTTTTCAACTACGGCAAACATCTAGTTCAAGGACGTTTATTGTCCAATGGAGCATGCATCTGTATTGTTAATAAGCTTGATATGTTTATGTGCTATTTATTACACATATGTCAGGGATGTAGGCCTATGACAAATTGAACATACTGATAACCTTATACAGTGGCGGATCATGGGACACAGCGGGTCTCCCCTCCCCCCACTCGGCTTGCGAGGTACCCACTTCTCCTCCCTTTCATAATAATACACCCAACAAAATGGGGCAAAGCCAAGAAACCCCTTACCCTTGGTTTGTTCGTGTGTGTGTGTGTGTGTGTGTGTCGTACATGATCAAGTCTACAAAATAATGAGTCCCAAAGCTTATAAATACACAGTCGTTTTTCTTTAAAAGATTATATCTTACATTTCTTTTAAATGTGAAATATATACATATTCCAAATCAGTATGACGCATCATTCCTATTTTTTCTTATAAACGATTTGACTTTAGTTTTCAACCTGAGTACATTCACATATGACCATATTCATGTACTCGTGCAAACAAAAATTACATTGTCATGTCACCTAATTATTCCAAATCTTTATGATATCGTACACAGGACAGATTATATTGCCCCATAGTTAGCAACACACTGATATCCTGAACACAATTAGTTGTATATATGTCTCTTGATCTCAGTAATGTTGTCGACCTGTTTCTTCAAAATTTTGTAAAACACCATTACCTAACCTACTGCTAATGACTGGTGCCGTGCAATATTATTATTATTACATATTATTATTATTATATTCATTTTTTGTGACCGTTCCTTTAACTTCTCCGTTCGTATCCTGTTTTATTCATAAGGCCACACTTTTTTATTTTTATGGATGACATCCTCTGGGGACCCCAAAATCGGTGCGAGCGGGCGAAAAAAAAAAAAACTGCTTAAGAAAAGGTTTTGTTTTCAGTACACAGCTGGAAACGCTAATTTACCACAGAAACACGTATCAAACTAACAACATGTCTTTATCCATGCTCTCAAAATACTAAAGCATTGTGAATATGGCCTACTTCGTAGAAAGGCAAAAAGTCATGAATATATATGCTGCATATTACCAAATCTATTTAAGGTTATTTCATGCATTCTGTTGGTATAGCAATCAATAAAACAAATATCAAATAAACGTGTCTTTATTTGTACTCTCAGAAAATTAAAGCATTGTTAACACTTCACAGAATTGTTAAAAAATGAAGCAAAGATAGGCCTATGCTTCCTACACCAAATCCAAAAAAAGGTAATTTCGGTCGATGCCATTTTGTCTACTTCAACTCACACGTAGCAGCCAACTATCGGGTGGCCTGTCCGACCTTTAGTCCACCAAATACCACGACGCTCTTGTCGACCCTTTTTTCGCTACAAAAAAAAAAAAAAAAAAAAAAAAAAAAAAAAAAAAAAAAAAA